GCACACGGTTCGAGAGTGCTTGTTCGCCGAACATCATCCACGAATCAACCCCGCAAAAACCAACCCCGTCTCCCTTTCGACGAAAAAGCCAGTGGCTGTGGTCTTTCAGTGGCTACCAGCTAATCGATTGCTATCCCCAGATTCTCTCGCTTTCTCCCTCTCTGTCTCGAGCGTGCATACTTTTTTATGAATTTCAATTATGGTAAAGAATTTTTTACCGAGCGATCGCCGCCGCGAAATTCTTTCAAAGCCAACCGCAACGGCTCGCACCGCGAAACTCCCGCCGTTCGATTAAATCCGCGCTGACACGCGGTCGGACATTAAAATCAGAATCCATCGCGGCAGGGTCGGTTAACGTGTTGCATTTGGCGTTTAGCGAGGGACACCGTCGCCATCGTGGACAGAAACGGTTCGCTGGGAAGCGTCGAGTGACAACTAACCGATATCAACGTTGCCTCTGTTAATTATTGCAAACACTCTTAAAGCAACGATTCGTTCGCAAAGCGTGCTTTTTGTTCCAAGCTTCGACAAACTTCCAAGGTTCGCGTTATCGCGTCCGCGTGATAACGGCGTTGAAGCGCGTTTCCTGCTCGTTGGTCGCGCGAAATAAAGTTCACGAATGTCCGAGCGTCCGCAGAACGAACGAGAAGGCCGAACCAACGCCACGGGGGGTTTCGAAGCAAAGTTTTCGTGCATAGGCGAGCGTAATCAATACGTAACGAGATTTCGAGAGTATAGCCAAGGACAGGCTCGCTATAAATTTCTCGATCTCGCTCTATCTGTTTCTCCCTCTCCCTGGAAATCGCGACTGCGATCGATCCTCTCCGGAACGGAATCGAGAACCGTGTTTTCCAGGCAAACACGCCCGCGAAGGATATCGAGCATCGATTATATAACCACTATCGATTTCGTTTTAAGAAGCTGACGTGGAATTGAACGATAGGCCGCTGGGGAATGTTCCGGGGAACCGATAGCACGTGGCCATACGTTGGACGTTGCATTATGGAGCGATAAGAGGATTCTCCCTTCGAAGTGGACGCGATCCACAAAGTGTCCTCGGTCGCTTTTCCCCCCTACAAGGATCGACCGGCGTGATTTAAACTCGACGGACTATGATCTAGCTGTAAATATTGCCAACAGAAGAATCCCCCTTGGCCCATTTTACAGGGAAGTCCAGCCACTCGATAAACTTCGTGACGCACAATGGGTTTTTTACGCGACGCGAATAGACAAATTGAAACGTTTACCCCCGAGCATCGTTTCGGAACTCCTCGTAGCGTAATCTCAATTTCAATTAAAACGTGAAACAGTGTGAGTTAGAAATGATAAACAATAACGAACTCCGCATCAATCTTAGACTACGAGCGGATGGATCCTTCGGGGGAGAAGCTATAAAAAATGTTTGGAAACCGCGACGATGGCTCGCAGGGACGAAACTACGGCTCATCTGTGATTAATACGAGCAGCCGTCGATTCGGCGTCCATACCTGATTGATTAATCGCATTGTCGGGCGTACGATATCGGCTCCACGGCAGCCAACATTGGTCCGTTTCTATTCTTAGACCGCCTACATTGACTTTCTGGGTTAGAGCGTGCGGTTGTATTGCAATGACGCGAGAGTCCGGTGCCGCGACCACCTTCCCTTCGCCTTCCCTCCGACGAATGTTCTCTTTCTCGATATTTCGGACCTTTTTCCCCCCGCCTGCAAGCCCCCTCGCGTTTAACCCGTTCGACGAACGTTTCGCCCGGCTGAATCGCGCCCGCGGAATAAATTTCCCCCGGAACCGCCGCCTTCCGCCCGCGATTAACCCCCTTCCCGACGAAATTAATTTCTCGCGCGGTACAAGAAATTGCTCGAAAATCACGTGAAATGTCGCGGAGTGTTTCGCGGAGGTCTATTTTAGAAATTCGTCGCGTGGGTGGGTCCCGTGCGCGAGGAATGGCTGACATTTGGGAAAAAGGGCGGTCGAGCGTGAACGGTGGGAACAGTGGGAGTTTACGAGAACTGACCTGCAAAGTGCAATCGTGTATACCACGGGAGAGGTAAGTTTAACAGGTTTATTACGTAAACAGTTACTTTCGATCGACTTCATCGGCTTTCCCCCGGCCCAGGAAAAGCGTCCGATAGATACTCGGAAAGATAATTTCAAAATATCCGCCGTACCGAACGATCTGTGTCCATTTAAATTATTTCATATTTACGTAACTCCGACTTGTCGTCAATCTGATCGACGAAGACAGTAACGAACTGTCAGATAGATTTCGTAACTTCTAGCACGCTTGTCCAGGCACGCGGTAGACAATGGCGTTGTCAGACGCAACACCCATCGCCTCGAACTCGATTTACGTTATCCATTCGGGCACGAAACGGTTACATTCGAAGGAATATTATTATAGACGATAATCGTGGCATTTTTCACAGAGAAATATTTCCTGCACCTGTTTAATATTCCTTCCTACGTAGGAAGGGAAAGAATGGATATCGAGGGTTCTAACTAACCGAGCTCGTTGTTGAATTCTATTTCCATGTCCCTTAATAAAAATCCACCGCGACAAACGATTGTTCGACGATACGATATTGCCTCCGTAAGCTGTCCCGGTTCAAAATGGCTGCCGCCTGCAGCGGATATTCGGTTCGCGGAAGATCCTCGACGATCTCGGTGACGGAAAGACAGTTGTCGGTGACGTTGATCGGTATCGGCGAACAATCTTGTACGAGTGCAGCGTGTCGTCTATTTTCAACGACGATCCTCCCTGTACATCTCGTTTCCAGAGCTCGCGACGGTTCCCCCGTAATTTCCTCTCTTCCTCGACGCCCTTTCATCGTTCCGGCTGTTCCCAGCAGCCGTGATTCTTTTCTCCTGGCCGTGCAGCCATCGCCACCGCCGATTCCCACCTCCCGTCAGGGATTGTTTCGTTCCCCCCGGCATCCAGCCGTACTCTTTTTCGCCGCGGTGAAAACGTCTTCCACCCGGCAAACAATGCGAGAAAGAGAAACGGGAGGAAGCATTAGCGAGTACCATCGGAGAATGCCCTTTCCTTTTCACCGCGATGCTTTTCTCCCGCGAAGCGTTTCGACAAATTCTTCGTTATTATTTGCGCGATGGAGTCGCGTGTCCCCGAGAAACCCCATTGTCAACGCGCGTTTGCGTTCGCCGGTCGTGAAACGGATGGACGTGGGTTCCGCACTGCCAAGCCAACTATAGCTTCCGTCAAGACGACCTCTTTATTTATGCACGATGCCTACCTCGAGACATCGTTGCGTCGCGATTCTGAATCGGGATATTTCCCGGCTGCTCGCCTGGATCCGTGACAACGACCTTTTCCTTAATTCACGCGAGAACCGAAGCCATTGTTCTCGCAGACGCCATCTACCTGAAAGAATGGCTTCGTTTCGATAGCGCGGAATGGATAAATCTGGCTACTATCGTTCCGTTCTTCCACTCCAGACGATATTTACATTGTTTCCGGATTGGACACACGTGTTACCGAAAACGAAACCGCTGAAAATGTTCGTTTCCAGCTGGCGGAGCGAAGTGGCACAAGTCGATGATTTCCGCCGTCGGGTGATACGTCGTTCTACTTATGTTGCAAGCATCGTGTCACAATTACGGCCCGTCTCACGTTTACCGTTATTTACTTCCAAAGAACAAAAAGACTCTTTCTTGTCGCAGAAAATTTGTAGAATCGTTTCGAATTACTTGGACGTTCGTATATAGTTTAATGCTTGAAAGTTCGATCAGCATCGATTCCACGCGTTTCGTTTCATATTAGAGCAAGTATCGCGGCGTATATTTTCCGTTTCCGCGGCTTTGTTACTCCGCGCCTCGAAAAGGGTCGATCGGGACCGCCGGGGGCTAAAAACGTAGCCCCGAAAAATACCGAAGACCATCCCGTTCGCTGGAACAAAGCTTCGACAAAAGAAGCTCGTCGTCGAGCAGCGAACAAATTGCTCGGAAACATCCCCGTCGACGAAATATTTATTTCGAGCGGACGTAAATAGGTTAAAATATCCCGTCCGCAAATAAATAATCCAAGTCGAAGCCGTTCGTTTTATTGGCCACGCGTGTTTTCCCGATTTCCGTACGTATGAATAATCGATCGACCAGGACCAAAGGACAGAATATATGAATGAACGCTGCGACAGTTGCATTATGGTTACGTTTGCAACGTGCCCTGGGCGAGAATAAAATGCACGTGCGACACGTGCATCCCTGACAACGGACGCTGACCATTCGACGATTTCAATGTTATTTACCCGCGTTTAATCGGTTTCGATGTAGTTTAAACCGCCGACACAAAGAGTTTACGGGACTGTCGTGGGGTTGAACCAGTTTTGTTTGGAATACAAAACTGGACGAGAGATGCAGGAAAGTTTCGATGCACGGGACGAGTGCTTAATTACGACTTCGGTTTAGGCTTGTTCGGGGCGCCCGTATTCCTTGAATTTTCGTGCGTTACGTATAGCACCGTTTATCTGTGATATATCTTGCGCCACTAAACTTTCCTCCAGAAACTCTTGGAGCGGCTATTAACCCCCGAATAGGGGATGCACTTTGATCCAAATCTGAATTTTATTATTCCACGCTCCGGTGCAAAGTTTCTGTGAAATATAGTTACGTGGAAGAAAGTTTACCGTATCGTGAGAAAAGACAAAGGAAAGATTGATATCCGGACGATGGAGTAACGCGTCATGATGGAGTTCTCGCGGTAAATGCAACGGCTCTTTCGGAGATAATTCAACGACGTCGGTTACTGTCGCGCGAGGTTTCATTTTCGTTCCGATCCGCGCGCAAATCTCGCGGATAAACCGACGACAACGCGTTCCATCGCCCGAGGAAACAGCATCGTTAGCTACGACGACCCGACGTAATATCCCGCAACAATACGGCATTTGTCTCCCGTGCTATCGCGTATCATTCTCAAATGGAAAGCTGCACTCAGCCTCTGGACATTCTGGACTAGAAACGACAGGCTTATGCGGGGATCTTCTGCTTACCGGGTGTAAAATTGACGGGTTTCTCCTTGAATTCCAAGCAGTCGCTGTAAAACTGGCCCAGCTTCTCGAACACGCCGTCCATGTGACCCGTCTTGTTCGCCAGCAGCTCTGAAAAGTATCGCAAACCAAACACTAATTATTTTAATTTAAATAAAAAGTCGATGCATCGTCGCGTTAATTTTTGTGAGATATCGTCCCAGAGTTTACCAGAGCGCGGAAAACCTGCGCATCGTTTGCAAATGGCCCGTGTCTCTGTCGTCCCACGGCCGTGTTTAAAATGCTTTGCATAAAGACATTAGGCAGCCCTTGCTGTCGTATCGCTCTTTGTACCCTTCTACATTTTGGTCTCTCTCTCTCGAGCGTCAAACATTTCGCGAGCTTCAAAGAAAAATTGTTCTCCGTCTCCAGATGTATTCGCGTTACAAACACTCGTAAATCACGGTTCTCGCGGGGCTGTGAAGATATCGTGGCAAATACACCGGCATCCGAAAATAATCAGCGTCGTGGGTGGACGCGGAAAAAAAAAGGAATATGCTTGATAAAATCGGGAAAAGTTTGAACGGCGTTAAAAGCGAAGGGATAACTGTTCGCCGAAATAGATCGAATAAAAATTCCTCCGGCGTTCCCGTGGACGGACACGCGGGCGGCTATTAAAATACCAGCACCGGCTATCGAAGCGATTTAAAAGTCCATTTCTTATTTTATTGACGCGGCGGGTTGCGCAGACCGCCGCAGGAATGAAAATTTACGCCTCGAAAGGAGAGAACAGGCCGTAAAGGAGATCGTATAACAGGACGAAAGGTGGCTGCGGTATTTCTTTCCGCGGGCAAATAAATTGCAGTTGCTGCAGCGCCCGAGTAACTGAATTTCAACTATGATGCGCGTCTATATCGCAATTTATCTTGCTTTAATTTTTCACGCTAACCCGTCTCCACGTTCAGCAGCTGTTGTTCTTACCCGGGTACTCCATCCTAGTCGACTTTCCCCGTATATTCTTTAATCTTATCCGCTTGCATCGAAATAACCAACGGCGGAAGGACATTGTTCGCGAACGCGACCCTATTTTACTCTATGATTACGATGATCGTACATTTTCTATTGTAAACTATACCCTTTCATTTTATTTTTCCCTCCAACGTCGCTTTTTGCTCTCCGTTTCTCATTTTTCCTCGTAACTGGAAATACAAACAGCAATATTGTTATTCTTCGTGAAGGTGTGAAACGCAATGTTGTCGCGCGACGCTTTATTTTCGAGAAAATCGATTTCGAAAACTCGTCGAGCACGCGTGCGATCGTGTCTGCCCAATGCTAGTCGTTTCTACTTCCGTTGACTCTGAACCATTGTATGATACGAAGTAGAAACGACGAGTGTTGGTGAGACACGTCGGATCAGTGGTTCTTAATACGGTTCTACTATTATTTATTAAAAACCATGGACTATTTTCTCCAGTTTTTGCTCGACTTTAACTGGCTGCTAAAACGTCGAAGATCTGACCGTGCATTTCCTTCGCTAAATTATACAACGTGCCGGGGCGATCTCTCTGACGTCACGGTTGATTACATTAAATCCTAATTCCTTTTATGGTCGTGTACTCGGAGAGCAGAACGACGCCGTAAAGCCACGAAGACGCAGACGTAATATCGATTTTGTATCCAAGGTGCCACGAGCCTCGCGTAGATTATTAATCGAAACTTCCGCCGATTCTCGACCTTCCGGCCGAGGAACCGAACGCGGAGAGAAATCCGTGAAAAGATTCGCAGGGAATCGATCGCGGTGAAACTTCCAGAAACGCGTCGCGAACGGTAACGATCGCGCGTGGAATATGCGCAATGCAAAGCGTAAAGTAATAAAAACACACAATGTGGAAACGAATGGGAGACGTGGAAGTCGAGGACGTCCCACAGGAGGTCAGCAAAGGCCTCGCGGAAGGCCAGATCGGCCAGCCGGCTTCGCCGTACTATAAATATTTCATGTTAATCGATATACGTGCACACGGAAGTGTGTCATGCACGTTGTCCTATGACTCGACACAATGCTCCATATACGGGCTTTAAGCGATCGTTCGTCAAACGACCTCGAAGGTTGGAAAAACTCGAACCTTCGCGCGTTACGCCTCCACCCTTCGACGCGTCGAGATCTCGATTCCTTTCTTCGATTCTCCCTTTCTCTGCTCGACCATTCGCGATTGATACTCTGTCGGCGCGAACGTGGGAAACACCGATCGACACGAACAATTATGGATATTTTCCTATTATAATAGAAATATTTTCTTAGTAGCAACGATCGTACGCGAGTATTATCTGATGCAGACACGGGCAATCGTTGAAGATTTTATCTAGAACAACGAAACACGGTAGAAAGCATTCAACAGAAATTTAGTTGAAAGAACAGAATTGCGTATTCGACGAAATGAGCAACAATTTCTGAAATAATAAAATTTATCCCGCGTGAACGTCCTGTTTTATCGTCTAGTCTTGATTACCCGGTACGGTGAACATAAACCTGAGCGGAAACAGTAATTTACAGCGAGATTCGTTAAGTCAAGTGCGCGCGTATATCGAGCGAATATTTAAAGCCAATTTCCTCAAAAGTCAAGCTTCGCGTGAAAAATGTTGTTTTACATTTTACGTTTGTTTCTGCTTTTACATTAAAAGAAATAAATCTGACGTAACAAGGTACGAACAGAGGAAACGAACGTTGTCCTTCGAAGCGAAAGGGATCGAGGATCTATGGAGAGGCGTCCCTCTTGATCGATCGGCACGCGTGACAAACGAACACGCGACCGTTCAATGCGGAACGTCCGTGGCCCGTGTTTAATCAATCAATCCGATTCGCCGATTATTCGAGCCCGCATCGATGCCTCCGATTTTCCACGGCAATGGGATTATTCCGTGGAGCCTTTCGCGTCGAACGATAGCGATCGAACAACAGTTACGCGCTATTTCGAGCATCGTTTCGAGAATAAGCCAAATCGAGCGTGCCCTCGCGATAAAAGTAACCCCCGAGCGTTCCGAAAATTCCAGCCGGATTTCGACCAACCGTATCTACGTCATGGCGTCGAACAAGAATCGCGAATAATCGCGTCGAGGAAAACAACTCCGAAACAACGCGGAACGCGCGGTGAACGAAGACGGAAATCGTTCACGGTGCTGGATCCTTTTGTATCGTGCTCCAGCGTGTCTAATTTACAGCGGACGCGAAATGGCACAATGCCGACTGTTGACTGGATTTCCCCGACTAGAAATCTGCACCGAAAGCAGCGAAAATTCAGGAAACCCGAGCAACCGTTCGACGAGAAGATACCGGCTATTCTAACGAGCCCCATTTTTTGGAATTAAAAACTATTCATCTTGACGTAGTCATCTTTGCCCACAAACTTAATACTCGATGGTACGAAATTGAAAAACGAGCGTTCTGGATCGTTCCACGTCCTGGCATTTGAATGCACCCTGTGCAACGATGGTTGTTTCCGTTTCGAGCACCGATCGACTCGTTCCAATTCTTTCCGTGACGTTCTTGTTTCGAAACCGTCCGGCGTGACCGGAAGCAGGCGAGACGATAGAAAGACAGAGAGAAGCTGGGTCGCGAATAATGTGGCCGGATGCGCGAAATGGGTCGAAATCGCAATCTGCAAACTCGTTAGGCGGTCTTTCGAGACGAGTTTCGCGGCCACTCGTCGCGTAGTCCGCGGACCAAAGCACCGCCGGAAGTCCCTGGCGGTCGGTTCTTTCGCCTAACCGCGTGTTCTTCCCTCCCTTTTGTCGTCACTTTCTCGTTCCGCGGTTCCGCTTAAATGGAAAGCCGAAATTTCGGGCGCCAGGTCCGCGCACACAGGCCTTTTGTCGACGCTCGAGCTCCGCTGGCTCTGTTTTCATTTCCTCTGCTTCTTCTGCCCTTCCAAACCACCTCCTTCGTTTTCACTTTTTCCATTCATTTTCTCCCCCTAACAACTTCCCCCTTTTCTGCTTTCATCCTCCCTTTCGACCTCGCTACACGGCTCTTCGAAAGGGACGCGGTCATTTGAAATACGCGTGCACGCACACCCACCCACCTACAAGTAAACAAAGGGGGGACAAATAAGCAGGACGCGGTTTCGTTAAAAAAATGTTCCACCCTCGCGAGAACCTGGCACGAATCGTACAAGCTTGTTCTTTCGACAAATTATTCAACCATGTTTCATCGCTTAACTATCGGTAATCGTTTTATTTTTTGTTACTGTCCGCCAGGTTTCCGCCAGAAACTTTCAGCAATCGAATGATCGTTAAGGTGTTACGCTTAAGAGGCTCTAAACGCGGATCCCGTGAATCCAATTTTCGCGCGAGAGAAAAATTACAGAACAAAACCGACGGGGATAAGTTTGTCAAGAAGTTGCCGGTCGTTTCGCGACGAATCGAAAAAGATTCGTGGAGAAGTTCTCGCGACGATAGTAGCCTCGGGACGAACAACTCCTCGCGACACTTTGGCGAATTAATTAAACCCGAAGTTCCTGAAATACTTGTAGAAACTTGGCTCGTTCGGACCGATTCGGTTTCTTCTCGCGCGACTCTCCAAATCTTATGGAATGTCTTTCTTTGGGAATTCCGTACGCAAACTGTAGGGTACGAGTCAAGTATTAGGTTGAAAACGAACGTGAAACGTTCGTCCGGACCTAGAAACGATTGATCGTTGCGTATGCGTTTGTCTTCATTGCCGGAACCCCGACGAAGCCTTAGACAACAGCGGTATTTACGTAAGAAGAAAGAAAGGGGTTGCAAACTTGATTAATCCAGCCAGTTTAATGGGTCAAGTTCGCAACGGCGAGCACAAAGTTACGTCGAGGTTCCCGACGATATCGTCGATCTAGGATCGCGCAAGGATTTCCGACGAATACGGGTACGCGATACGAAACGAAAAAAAAAAAGGATAACGATCGGTGATCGGAACTCTCGAACCCGTTCGTTGTTCTTCCCTTTTTCTGGGAAAGAGTTTCACCCCGTACATCCTCGGTTATCGCCTTTCGTCTATAAAATACGGCCAGGTCAATTTAGTATTGTTCACGGCGCCCCGGGAAAAGTTTAACGAACCTGTCGTGTTTGTTTTTCTTTCCTACGAAACTATTCCTTCTGAT